GGCAAATTATCAAATTTGCCCTTATTTCCTAGAAGACAAAGAAACAGACTGCAGTTTCTCGCTCGAATACAGAGGCTGAGTTGCGAGCCATGGCTATGTTGACGGCTGAGGTGATCTGGTTACGATGGTTACTTGAGGATTTTGGTGTGTCTGCTACTACCTCGACTCCCTTACTGTCACACAGTACCGGTGCTATCAGTATTGCGCGTGACCTGGTGAAGCATGAGCTCACCAAGCACATCGGTGTGGATGCCCACTTTGTGCGTGCTGCTGTGCAGGATCAAACTCTCGCTCTTCACTATGTGCCCTCTGAGTTCCAGTTGGCTGACTTCTTCACGAAGACACAGACTCGAGCGCAGCATGGCTTTTTCCTCTCCAAACTCAGTGTTGTTGATCCATAATGAGTACCCGGACGCTGGAATTTCGCTGACGCCATTGAGCAAGCTATATATCGACGGGACCATTCCATTACAAAAGAGAAGAATTTTCGCTCTCTTTATTGTAGAGGAGCTTTATTCGTGATACTAGGGGGTTGTTCGGTAATCCTCCCGCTCCGTGAAAACAGAGAATCTGTGAAGCGCCTCCTATCCCACTCTGCGGTTTTGTACTGTCGCTCCTCCAGCTCCGGAAGCAGAGTTGTGGAGAGGAGGGACTCCGAACAGGCCCTAGATATCCAAGACAAGCAAAGTGATTAGAATACAGTTCTTGCCTTGTTGCGCGACATCAGCAGAGGGATTTTGTTCACTTTTTTGTAAAGAGGATGAGAATGGGTTTCGTGGAAGCAAGCATCTCGCACCATCTCGACTTGAGATTTACTCCATTCGTGCTTGCGTGCGTGTATAAATCAGTGTGCAATTCGTGCAGCAACTACTACAACATCTCGAACCATCCATTTGGTTTGCTTGTCTACCCACGGCCTGATTGGGAATGAGGCCACTAAGGGATATTGGGCAAGTTGGAGGCGCCAACGAGATCGACAAACAAAGGTAACAATGCATGCAACTCCTTGCCTTCATTTTCTCGTACTTATTTTCTTGAACTTTTTTTGCGGGAATTTAATTTTGTACTAGTAGAAAACTTAAGACATTCTGGAAGTGCACAGAGTATATATACAATTACATGGAGTAACTCTACAATGCACAAGAGACTAGTAATTTCAAACCTCGAAAGGAAAAGCGGAACTAGTAATTTGTGTTTGTCCCGTGCAGGCCCATGCAACACATTCCTTAATTGCATTGCTTTTGTCTATTTTCCATTGCTTTCTTCCTGGACGGCACACTCACGCGAGAGTCTATATATAGATCGAGTTCTTCTCTTTCTCCTAGTCTCCTAGACCACACACATAAATAAATCCTCTAAATTTTGACAAATCTTATAGGGTCTATTTTTTTAGGACGGAGATACTGCATTACATTTACCTCGAATATGGTTTATTCTCAGCCACATATTTAAATACTTTTGATCAATGTCCAACCACTATCTACCTATCTTACTTTGTACTCCCTCCGTAAAGAAATATAAAAGCGTTTAGACCATTAAAATAGTGATCTAAATGCTCTTATATTTCCTTACAGAGGGAGTAATAGCTAATTTTGCATGCATTGTAATGAGGGAATACATATTGTAGTGGCTAACACCAATCGTGTTAGACATATGCCGAGTATTTAACAAAAATCTATCACAATTCATGAAATCGTGCCTACAAATTATCACTTTACAAATTTGTGCTGAAAACTATCACTTTTTCACTAATTCTTTAAAAAACACTAACGACTAATTTTTTAAAAATCTATCACTTTTCCACTTTGTCACCGGAGTACTTCATCTTCTCCGCCTCCGATGAAGGCCGCTGCCGCCTCGATCTCTTTCTCCGGTGACCCTTTCGCCCGCACAACCTCTCCTCCTCACGCGCAGTACGCCGCCCCGCAAACTGCCGGAGCCACACTTAGCCGCATCCCCGACCACCCCGTGCAGCTCCATGTCACCATCGTGAGCGCCCGCTGCTTCCCCTCTACTCCCCCCTCGGTTACTTGCCGCATCAACGTGGTGGCCGAGCGCCGGAGCTCGTGCTCCGAGCCGCACCCCCACGCGCGCGCCCGCGGCGCTCGTGGCCGCCCCTCGCCATGCGCACCGTGGTCGCCGTCCCTGTACCACGCGCGCTCGCCACACCTGCTACGCCCGGGCCGCGCCCCCGCCACGCACGGCTCACCACTGTCGTGCCCCTGCTGCTGCTCCTCGCATGCTGCGGCTCCCGCGGCCGCGCCCCCGCCTCCGGCCGCCCGGTCTCCCCGCGCCCGCTGCCGCCACCCTTCGCCGCTGGAGCCGCCGCGGGTCACTCCTGGAGCCGCCGGAGCCGCTGCGGGTCGCTATGGGTCGCCACTGGAGCCGCCCGCCCTGCGCCCTTCGTCCTTCGCCGGCCGCCGCGAGCTCCTCGGCTGCCATCAAACAAATTTTGCTAATGTGCCACGTCAACGCTTATGTGTGGGCCCAACCAGTCAGAAACGTGTTTAAAAGAGGCAAATCGGGCTCTTTTTAGACATGATAGTTTTTAGTCAAGGATTAGTGAGAAAATGGTAGTTTTCGGCACAAATTAGTAAAGTGGTAGTTTGTAGGAACGTTTCCATAAAATGTGGTAGGTTTTTGTTAAATACTCGACGTATACCTTACACCCACCATAGATTTTGATAAGATTTGTGATTTGAGTATGAGTAGGGGAAGAGAAGTAAAGTTTTAATTTAGTAAGACTTCAGTAAGATCTGATTTGATTTGGCTATGGGTAAGGGAACACGCGGAGAGTTTTGATTTAGTTGAGTATTTTGTACGATTTGATTGAGTTAATGCGAGACATGGGAAATGTGCATACAGGAGGGAAACAACCAACCCGAAGGGGGCAGAGGTGGAGGCGAATGTATGACGACCAATTCCCCTTTAATAATAGATATAATTAACCTAGAAATTGACTAAATTATGGTTACATGTTGTGGTGCCATTTTTTTAAAATGATGTGTAGTTTTTGATGGAAACGCCTCAAACAAAAGGGGATTACAAAACGTGTTATTATAAATTTTTATTTTGCATATACAAAATAATACTTCCTTCGTCCCAAAATTCTTGTCTTAGATTCGTCTAGATACAGATGTATCTTATACTAAAACGTGACTTGATACATCTGTATTTAGACAAATCTAAGACAAGAATTTTAGGACGGAAGGAGTAATAATAAAACATCGAAATATGTGCAAGTAATACAATATCTGATGAACCATTGAGTGACGATCTTTATTTTGGGTTTGGCCATCGGCAGCTTGCAGGTCGTCCAAGTGCTCTGGAGCGAATGGGAGATTCATTGCCTCATACTTGCAAGCTTTGGCCTACAAGTATTCCTCTTCTTCACAGCAGGCATGCGGAGGCACAACGTGTCCCGCATCCTCAACTCTCTTATATGGCTAGCCTACTTATCTACCGATTCTGTGGCCATTTTTGTTCTCGGTCATCTCGCGGTCCATGCGAATGGCTCACACCATCTTCTTATCTTCTGGACACCATTCCTACTCCTACACTTGGGAGGGCAAGACACTATCACTGCCTTCTCCATGCAAGACAACGAGCTCTGGCAACGACACCTGCTAGGATTGATCACCCAAGCATCGGTGGCTGGCTACATAATCACCATATCGTCTTGGCAAGACAGTCGCCTCCTTGCTGCCACGGTGCTCATGTTCTTGTCTGGGGTTTTCAAGTACATTGGGCGCACCTTTTGCCTTTGCTCATCTCGAACATTTCTCCTCACAGATGCTACCGTGCCTATTTTGGATAGATATGTACGCGGTGTATACTATACACCGACTCTTTTGACTAGGGGGCCTTCCGAGGATATACTAAAGCAAGTAGTGCATGATATGATGATTAACCAGGATGATGTGAAGCTGCCACCCGTTGACAATTTCGCACAAATACTGATGGATACTCCACTCAATGATAGGGATACTATTGAATGTGCATCTATCATACCAGGCTTGCTCAATGTGCTCAAGTCTAGTGCAAACCGCTCCAATACCTATGTTTATGTCGGCACACTACTTGTTCGTTCTTATGAACGCATCTACACCAAGGGTTTGCTTAATATGTTCTGGATTTTCCCTATCCGTACAATAATGTCCAAAGATTCCGAGGACAAAATCACAGCCATAGTATTTCTTCACATTGCTTCACTCCTCTTGCTCTTCCCACTTATCTCGGCCTTGATAACATTGCGTCTCTTTATGGCTTCTGAAAAAGCCGAACTCTACAACACGACTGATGTCATAGTCTCCTACATATTACTCGTAGGGGCCATAATCCTTGAGGTGGCATCTCTCTTCATGTCCATTCTTTCCTACTTTGCATCAAGGGAAGCACCAACATGTTATCCACTTACGAATGTAGTCTTGCGTGTAGCCAACTATATTCACCCTGCGGGCAGACACAGAAAACGCTGGTCCAAAATGCTTGGACAATATAACATGTTGGAACATCACACCAGACAAAAGTCCACAGGCATCGTGCCAATTGTATCAACATGGATTGGCAAGCCATTTTCAAGAATTGCCGTTAGTAAAGAGCTCGAGGAGCTTGTCCTTGATAAGCTGCTAGAATTGGGAACAGGTGACCAAGAATGCTGGAACTTTGCTAGCTTCCGTGGACAGCTAGCGCTTCAGAGATGGACTGATATGCGCACGATCATTAACAATGCTGACCTGCCAACAAGTGTGTTGATCTGGCACATTGCAACAGAGATATATTACTTGAGAGAAAATAGCATCACCTGTCCTGATCAAACTAAGAAAATAAGAGCGATCAGAGAGCTATCAAACTATACCATGTATCTTGTCTTCACGTGTGATGTGATGCTTACGACCAGCTCCAAGCTCGTACATGTTAACACTCAGAAGGAATCAAGCAAACTCTTCGAGGGTGTGTTAATCGTGGTATGAGGGAAGCTGTTATGATGGCGCTTCCAACTAACAGAGAAAGGCAACAACCAACCGATATGGACAAGCTTTGCAGCAAAAACCAACCGGTAAATCAAGTGCAACTTTTGAAAAACAACATGAAGGTTCTTGATTCTCCAGTGTTGCCTCGTGCACGTAGAGTGGCTCGTGATCTGACTAACATGCCTGAAGATGACCGCTGGGAACTCATTGCAGAGGTATGGCTGGAGATGCTTTTCTACATCGCGCCTCGCTGCGGGGGGTCTTTCCATGTCAAGCATCTCAGTACCGGCGGGGAGTTCGTGACGCATGTACTAATGCTGATGCATTTACTAGGCCCTTTTCTACCACCGCCGGATGCTTAGCTTTGTACCTTTACCATTTTCAGATGCTTCAAGGGTCATAAACCTTGTGTATTGTACTGGTATCTTTATTATTTTCATTGGCTAGTCCGTTTTCTTTTGCAAATATCCACTTGCAAATATTTAGTTTGGATTCAAATACTATGAAATCTATTTGTGCTATGCTTTGTGCACTTGAGTTTGTCAACTTGTCTACTAGCATTGTTATTTGACCAAACGCCAAACATTCAGCAAAGGCCGTGTTCAAATTTCTAACACTATATGTTGTTTACTGTATCTATATCCTCACTTAGATCAACCTCTTAATCATCCTAGCTATCAAAGAAGAACTTTTACATTTTTCCTTGTATTTTAGCACATTCTTCTAAACCCGCTTTCACCCCAGAAAACACATCTCTCAGAGCATCTACAACCGGGCGCCCCAAACGCTCGGGTGGATGGCCTGGTCAGTGACCGGTCACAAAAAACCGAAGACGGGCTCCTCAAACGCCCGGGCTGACCGGGACCCCTCATATTCAACCCAAATCTGGGGCAGATATGGGGGCGCCCGGGCGTGTCCGCCACGCCGGTCTTGGCCCACCCGACCCCACATATATTCCTCCTCATCTGCTCGTCGGACCAAACCCTAGCCACTTCTGTCAACTCCCATCCGCCATCCAAGCTCCCGTCCGGTGATCTCCGACCTTCTCCGGCATGGGGGCACTGGATCGAGTCGTATACCTCCAGATCCGTCAACCCCGAGCTCATCCCACACGGTCTCGAGGAGGAGATGATTGTCCGGCTTGCGCTTTGCCACTCCCGGGAGGAGGCCGCCTGACAGCAGCTCTGTGACTCCTTCTGTTAATTAGGAATCGATTCGATTGCATCCACCCAAATGGCGCGTGGATCCGGCGTTAGGTGTACCATCACTGCCTCACCAGAGGCAACACGATCCGTCTGGCCACCGAACACGGTGATGGACGCGCAACCCCTCCGTTGGCGCGCCGAGGTGATGGATGCTACCTCTTGAGCACTTGCGTTGGTTTTCTCTTGAAGAGGAAAGAGTGGTGCAGCAAAGTAGCGTAAGTATTTCCCTCATTTTTTAAGAACCAAGGTGTCAATCCAGTAGGAGGCTACGTGCGAGTCCCTCGCACCTACACAAACCAAATAAATCCTCGCAACCAACGCGATAAGGGGTTGTCAATCCCTACACGGTCACTTACGAGAGTGAGATCTGATAGATATGATAAGATAATATTTTTGGTATTTTTATGATAAAGATGCAAAGTAAAATAAAAGCAATGAAAATAACTAAGTATTGGAAGATTAATATGATGAAGATAGACTCGGGGGCCATAGGTTTCACTAGTGGCTTCTCTCAAGAGCATAAGTATTTTACGGTGGGTGAACAAATTACTGTTGAGCAATTGACAGAATTGAGCATAGTTATGACAATATCTAGGTATGATCATGTATATAGGCATCACGTCCAAGACAAGTAGACCGACTCCTGCCTGCATCTACTACTATTACTCCACACATCGACCGCTATCCAGCATGCATCTAGAGTATTAAGTTCAAGAGAACAGAGTAACGCTTTAAGCAAGATGGCATGATGTAGAGGGATAAATTCATGCAATATGATAAAAAACCCATCTTGTTATCCTCGATGGCAACAATACAATACGTGCCTTGCCGCTCCTACTGTCACTAGGAAAGGACACCGCAAGATTAAACCCAAAGATAAGCACTTCTCCCATTGCAAGAAAGATCAATCTAGTAGGCCAAACCAAACTGTTAATTCGAAGAGACTTTGCAAAGATAACCAATCATACATAAAAGAATTCGGAGAAGATTCAAATATTATTCATAGATAAACTTGATCATAAACCCACAATTCATCGATCTCAACAAACACACCGCAAAAGAAGATTACATCGAATAGATCTCCACAAGAGAGGGGGAGAACTTTGTATTGAGATCCAAAAAGAGAGAAGAAGCCATCTAGCTAATAACTATGGACCCGTAGGTCTGAGGTAAACTACTCACACTTCATCGGATAGGCTATGGTGTTCATGTAGAAGCCCTCCGTGATCGATGCCCCCTCCGGCGGAGCTCCGGAACAGGCCCCAAGATGGGATCTCGTGGATATAGAAAGTTATGGCGGTGGAATTAGGGTTTTGGCTCCGTATCTGATCGTTTGGGGGTACGTAGGTATATATAGGAGGAAGAAGTACGTCGGTGGAGCAACAGGGGGCCCACGAGGGTGAAGGGCGCGCCTGGGGGGGGTAGGCGTGCCCCACTACCCCGTGGCCTCCCTGTTGGTTGCTTGACGTAGGGTCCAAGTCTCCTGGATCATGTTCGGTGAGAAAATCACGTTCCCGAAGGTTTCATTCCGTTTGGACTCCGTTTGATATTCCTTTTCTTCGAAACCCTAAAATAGGCAAAAAAAACAACAATTCTGGGCTGGGCCTCCGGTTAATAGGTTAGTCCCAAAAATAATATAAAAGTGGATAATAAAGCCCGATAATGTCCAAAATAGTAGATAATATAGCATGGAGCAATCAAAAATTATAGATACGTTGGAGACGTATCAAGCATCCCCAAGCTTAATTCCTGCTCGTCCTCGAGTAGGTAAATGATAAAAACAGAATTTTTGATGTGGAATGCTACTTGGCATAATTTCAATGTAATTCTTCTTAATTTTGGCATGAATATTCAGATCCGAAAGATTCAAGATAAAAGTTTAATATTGACTTTAAAATAATAATACTTCAAGCATACTAACTAAGAAATTATGTCTTCTCAAAATAACATGGCCAAAGAAAGTTATCCCTACAAAATCATATAGTCTGGCTATGCTCTATCTTCACCACACAAAGTATTTAAATCATGCACAACCCCGATGACAAGCCAAGCAATTGTTTCATACTTTTGGTGTTCTCAAACTTTTTTCAATCTTCACGCAATACATGAGCGTGAGCCATGGACATAGCACTTTAGGTGGAATAGAATGGTGGTTGTGGAGAAGACAAAAAGGAGAAGATAGTCTCACATCAACTAGGCGTATCAATGGGCTATGGAGATGCCCATCAATAGATATCAATGTGAGTGAGTAGAGATTGCCATGCAACGAATGCACTAGAGCTATAAGTATATGAAAGCTCAAAAGGAAACTAAGTGGGTGTGCATCCAACTTGCTTGCTAACGAAGACCTAGCGCATTTTGAGGAAGCCCATCATTGGAATATGCAAGCCAAGTTCTATAATGAAAAATTCCCACTAGTATATGAAAGTGATAACATAGGAGACTCTCTATTATGAAGATCATGGTGCTACTTTGAAGCACAAGTGTGGTAGAAGGATAGTAGCATTGTCCCTTCTTTCTTTTTCTCTCATTTTTTTATTTGGGCCTTTTCTCTTTTTTTATGGCCTCTTTTTTTTTGTCCGGAGTCTCATCCCGACTTGTGGGGGAATCATAGTCTCCATCATCCTTTGCTCACTTGGGACAATGCTCTAATAATGATGATCATTACACCTTTATTTTCTTACAACTCGATACTTAGAACAAAATATGACTCTATGTGAATGCCTCCGGCGGTGTACCGGGATATGCAATGACTCATGAGTGACATGTATGAAAGAATTATGAATGGTGGCTTTGCCAAAAATACAATGTCAACTACATGATCATGCAAAGCAATATGACAATGATGGAACGTGTCATAGTAAACGGAACGGTGGAAAGTTGCATGGCAATATATCTCGGAATGGCTATGGAAATGCCATGATAGGTAGGTATGGTGTTTGTTTTGAGGAAGGTATATGGTGGGTGCATGATACCGGCGAAAGGTGCACGGTATTAGAGAGGCTAGCAATGGTGGAAGAGTGAGAGTGCGTATGATCCATGGACATCAGTCATAAAGAACTCATATACTTATTGCAAAAATCTACAAGTTATCAAAGCAAAGTATTACGCGCATGCTCCTAGGGGATAGACTGGTAGGAAAAGACCATCGCTCGTCCCCGACCGCCACTCATAAGGAAGACAATCAATAAATAAATCATACTCCGACTTCATCACATAACGGTTCACCATACGTGCATGCTACGGGAATCACAAACTTTAACACAAGTATTTCTTAAATTCACAACTACTCAACTAGCATGACTCTAATATCACCATCTCCATATCTCAAAACAATTATCAAGTATCCAACTTCTCATGGTATTCAACACACTCATAAGAGAATTTTATTATTAATCTTGTATACCTAGCATATTAGGATTATTTAAGCAAATTACCATGCTATTTAAGACTCTCAAAATAATCTAAGTGAAGCATGAGTGAGGGAGTCCTGGATTAGGGGGTATCCGGACAGCCGGACTATAACCTTTGGCCGGACTGTTGGACTATGAAGATACAAGATTGAAGACTTCGTCCCGTGTTCGGATGGGACTCTCCTTGGTGCGGAAGGCAAGCTTGGCAATACGGATATGTAGATCTCCTTCCTTGTAACCGACTCTGTGTAACCCTAGCCCCCTCCGGTGTCTATATAAACCGGAGGGTTTAGTCCGTAGGACGAACAACAACAATCATACCATAGGCTAGCTTCTAGGGTTTAGCCTCTCTGATCTCGTGGTAGATCAACTCTTGTAATAC